GTTTTTCAATGAAATGGATGAAACTTTAGAGAATGCAGATTATCATTAGCATCATTAAACTTGAGCCAACTTTTAGGTGTCAGTGTTCTAAATACTCAGTTCACTTTCTATGTGCTAGATGTGATGTTATTCTCTTTACGCAAGCATATAACACAACTTCTAATTAAAAAAAAAAAATTGGAATACAATAATTTTTCTTAATCTTTTCATATGAATCCCAGCGAACAATCTTCTTAGTTCATTTATGACCATCTGCTTTAATAGGCCAAAATCAATCAATTCTAAAAAATACTCTTGTGAATTATGGTCAACAATAATAGCAGAAGCATTGATTTCAAATCCAAAGGTTAATTGTACTCCAGAAAGTCTAGGTAAAGCAGAAAGTCTAGGTAAAGCTATATTTGATGGGGACAAATTCATGAGCATTTTAAGAAACACTAATCTAATCATTGATTTAGCTCAAGAAAATAGTCTACTACTATTCAGATATTGAAATATTCATAAAATGTCAGCACGCAAACCTGCATCTCTCGTACGTCCTTTCCTTCTGATCCCATCCTTAGTGTCTCCCTTTCCTTCTTCACCTCCTCAGGTATCGATATACCCTCCCGAACCGTCTCCTTCACCTCAGCTTCCTCCACTATTAACTTATCAGCTCCAGCAACGAGACGCCGCTCCTTCGCCGCAAATAGCACCGCCTCGACGGCATCAGCGAGCGGGGAACGCTCGCCCTCGAGGGCATCGATGCGGAGCCGCAGAGCTGCAATCTCGCGAAGAAGAGCTTCGCGCTCGGAGCTCCACCGAAGCTCCTCTCGGAGCCAGCGCTGCTCCTCTCGAAGCCACCGCTGCTCTTCCCGGAGCCATCGTTGTTCCTCGTGCTCCCATGATGAAGAGGAGGCGAAAGCAACGACAGCTGTAGAAGAGGACCAAAAGCTAGGGTTAGGGTTTCGGAGGATCTGAAACGAGGTCGGAAAATTGGTTTTAACGCCGGAGTGGAGGAGGCTGGTGAGGAGAGTGGGGTGGGTGCGAGGCGGGAGACTGGCAGTTGCCATTAGCAGAAACCTGGCGGGTGGGTATTGGGGTAAAGCTTAGGTGCGGATAGGATTGTGGGAAGAAAATTATAAAAAATGTGGATATGATGATATTGTAATGATATAATAATATTCATAATATTATTAATTTATAATTCATAGATATATTATATGTTATATATAGTTTTGGGCTAGTTATCAAATTGATAATTTTGAATCTTCTTTTCATTAATTTAAGTCAATTGGGACCTCATGAGGAAAGTTTTCACTTCCATTAATTGTAATGGATAATTAAGTTCAAGATTGGCGCAAAACAAATCAAATTATAATATTTATTTTATATCGAGTCTTTATATTATAGTTAGGTTTATCTAAATCATGTAGAAGTCTCCAAGAAACTTTATCTCCCTAGATTGCACTATCAAAAATCATATTCCTATGTTTTTCATAAAAATTGATTGTTGACTTTTCTATTCCATTAGTATATTGTCAAAAAACTTTTTATCACAAGTAATTTTATAATTCACCCGACTAAAATATATTTAAATAATACTCAAGATTAACAAAATAATTTGAAATCCAAAGTTATTTCCAATTGCAATGCATAAATAAAATTAACTCCATGGCAATCATTTCTTTAGAGAAAAATGATTTCGGTGATACACATGTTCACTGATCAAAAATATAAAAATAATAAAATAAAACACAAAGGAGCAACAAACAAAATAAAATGACACACGGATCAAACTTACAAAATAAAATTTGATCTTGATCTTCTCTACTTGCACAAAGCATACTATGTCCCTCACTCTCATTCACTTCATTCACTCACAAAAACTAAGACGCTAAGTTCTATGTACATTCACTAAATCATTCCACACTTCTCCCCTCTATCCATAGTCCACACACTTACGCATATACTCCATTTTATCTAAAAAATGCTCTAACTACTCCAATATGATTTGTTTGTGTCAGAGCAAAAACTATTGTGCTATGTTGTTTCGCCAGAATGATACAAATTAGCAACTCGATTGAAGTGATGTAGCGCTCCAACGCTACCAAGTCACAATATAGTGTTGTGCTCTCATATTTATGACTCCAACTACTTCATGTACCGGCACATTGGTTATATTTGGACAATGACACAATTCTTGAATAATAACACTTAAGTGCTAGGAATTGGAGCGGCGCTGCCATGCTTTCGGGTTTTTTACTCCATGGTGGTCTCTTTCAGCACTTTGATGTCGTGATGTTGAGTTCTTGGAAAAATTCTTTGAATTTGAAACTATTGGTGTTGAGGTGTTGGCTATCTGGGGCAAGGTGTTGAATGCATTTTTGCTTTTTTTACATTATTGCCAAGTTAGTTTCATGCAAAAAACATAGAACAAAAGACCATTAAAAGTATAAAATAAAATAACATGTATACAAAAATTCTCTTAATTGTTATGCATCTTGAATATTTAACAGTTTCTTCAATTTGCCAGGAAAAAATATTGCTCTGTAGTTTTGATTGAATAGCTTATATAAGATAATAATCTCTAATTCATAGGTCATTAGTTAGTACCGTATTTAATCATTTATTATACAACATAAAATATATATTCACTACAAAAAATTTGAAATTATGTTGAACGATGCAATACAGCCATATTATAAAAAAAATGTTAGCCAATCAATAAATTAATAAAAAATTAACTTATTAATTAATCATGTTGTGCGTGCATTTAATGATAAAAATTATGTTGCACTTGGAGTGCTAACTCTTATCTATCTCTATTTAGATGTATTTCAACATAACTAACCAATACTTGAAGGAAGACAATTACTCCTCACAATTGGGTGGAGGGGATCAATGGTTTATGGATTCATAGGCTTTTACATTGTGCCTAATGGATTTGTGAAATTTGTAATGAAATATTTCTTATTCTTTGTTCATTTTCTTTGATAAATTTTAACTTTATATTATCTTTATGCAAGAAAGATGAGCTAACACATCTTGTCACTCTTACAACATCATTTATGCATGCACTAACAAGATATGAGTTAATGTTTCTTGTGTCATGCACCACATCTCTTTTAATGTTTTAAGGAATGACAAAATCAATTGCCAGACCTTCATTCTATCCTCCTTCCCCTCAATCTAAATCTCGACATGAATAGTTATACTAGCAATAAAAAAATTAATATTATTATTCTTATCCCTACTTATCTGCATGCCAAAATACATATATTTATTTCATTTCACCTCACTATATACAAAAATTTATAGAAAATTTTTATGAGCATCCATTTCTACAACAATTGTAGTACATTATTCTTCAATATGATTTGATTATTTTGTTAGCTCTAAAAAATTATAATAAATTACTTTAGTTGATCAAATGAGGGCATGAATTTACAAGCTGTTAATTATTACTAGTTATCTATCTTCTTGTTTTTTAAGACAGCCTGCCTCCTTAAGCATTTAAATAATGCTTTCTAATCCTTAAACAAAACAATAATCTTAATAAAGATCACATTGTATTAATAATGGTTAGGCAGAACAACTTCCAAAAGTGCATAATTCTAACTCCATATCATTTCCTTTAATGGATGCCATAAATGCATTACATTTAAAGTTAATACATTCATCTATATACTCATTAATAAACTGAAGACTAATGCCTCATTTGAAGGAGCTTTGTCGAACGGCGAAACTCCTTTAAAAGTCATGTGGTGGAACAGACATTATCACACGAGTTCTAAAATGACAAAATTAACGTTCCGGTAAAATAGTTTTGGGAGGTGTCGGGATACATTGCTTTAACAAACAAAATTTTTTTTTTTGCATGTTTGGCGTTCTTAAGAACCGAACGAAACTTGAATGTCATCTCAAACGATCACAACACCGAGCGGAACATGATTGTCTTCTCAAATGAAGCCTTAAGTATATATATTCCTCATTTTCTCATCATTGACCATCTTCAAGAGTAGTTTATAAATAATGCTCTAGAGAGCTGCAGTTCATGAATCATGAAGAGCTGCATGAAGGGAGGTCTCTCAAATTTCTTCAAACTTTACTCTAACCATACTCAAATTTTGAACATGATTCGAGCATGGCTCTAGATTAGCTCCTAGCTAGCAAGATTCAAACATGATTCTAATTTGGTTTTAATAAGATTCAAATATTTTTTGAACACAATTTGATTAATATTGTAAGCAATATTACAAAACATAGTGTACTTAGAGTTGATGTTTCGCGTGCGAGTAAAATTTAAAACTTATATTATGTTGAATCTTTTTGAGACACAGGGTATCATATTGCTCACAAGCGTATGCTAAAATCATATATCGTAGAGAAGGGAGAGAGAGAGAGAGAGAGAGAGAGAGAGAAAGAGAAACTTGAGAAGGAACATTAGAAAATGTGTTATTGAACTCTTACATACCCAGAAGGCAATCCAAAAATCTAATTAGTTAAGAAAAGCAAAGGATTATATATATATGTGTGTGTGTGTGTGTGTGTGTACACAGGTGCATCAGACTTACAAACGAGAAAATGTTACTTCCGAAGTCAAGACATAGATCCGATTGTGGAATATAACATGTTTATATTTGAGATTTTTCTTCAGTACAACATAGTTGTACTATGTTGTACTAAGTAAAAAAAACATTTAGATAACTATTTTGATGAGAAAACCATAACACACAAGCATATTGTACCAAGGAAAATCTTCAATGTAAATGTGCTCCACATCAAGCATGAGCTTTATGAGCTTTAGCTTCTCCAACAAGGACATAACTACAAATTGGAGTCCGTACGTTTCCTGGCAAACAGTTTGTTATCGTTCGTTGGGCCGGTTGCTTCAAACTCTAACCTACAGTGGAGAAGTAGATGGAAGCCAAACCCTAGACATGGAGTTCCGCTAGGAGAAAATGGCAATGTAGCTTAGATTCTGTTTTGGATTGCCTAGTCCGTGACTTCAAAACTCAATAATGAAGTTAACGCATCTAAGATAGAACCAGGTTAGTTTCTGCATTCCATCTTGTTTGATCCGATTTCATTGTGCTAATTTGCGCCATTTCGCCGGATCACGTGCATTTCGAGACGAAGGATATACTTATCGTTGCAGTTTTTGTTGAGGTTAAAATGATCTTGAGGTGGAATTTGTGGAAGCACGGCGAAAGCTAATGGGGATTGGCTAGTCAGTAATTTGCTGGCGTTAGATTGGTTTTGAGTTATAGGTTTAAATAATACAATCTATGATGAAGAAACGAAATTAGGTATGTGCTTGATTGCGCTCTGGCGTTTAATCTGGTTACTTGCTTTCGTTACTCTGCAGATTGGTAATTCAATGCTGTTTGTACCGTTTGTAGGCCAATCTTGTTTCCTTGAAAAAGTAGTAGGCTGTGCTGACTGAAGGTTTTGTCCATACAGGCACAATCACATCGGGAACATCCAATGATATTGCCCCAACGAGATGAAGTCGTTCTTGATGAGTCATGAAGTCCATGATTTCTGTATAGTTCCTCCAACATATCGGTGAATATTGTCTGTGCCATGTAGAATATTTTGCTAAATCTCATTGGGTGACCTGCAAACAATTTCCCGACCCTTTATCACCTACATATGAGGATGTCATTCAAGGGGAGCGCTCGATGTACGAGTTATAATATTCTTACATCAAGCATATTGTAGCTGCAACTCTCCTTCGGTGCCTCTCTTTAATTGCATCAATGTATTTCGATATCGAAATGACTAACACATAAACATCAATGAATTAACTATAATTACATAAGATTATGAGCAAAACCAACATAAACAAATAACATTATAGAAGTGAATAAAATATATGACGAGCAATGAAAAATTTTAAGTAAAGTGGTATGTCCAAAACAACATAAATATCTCAAGCATCATGAAAAACCATAAACAATTATAAATGTATCACAATAACCTAATAAAACCATCAAATGTCACTACTCACATGAAAATAACGTAGGTAAGCCGCTATACGGTCGATGGACATTGTTATGAAAAACTCTCTCTAAGTCGAATATTCAAGA